TGTTTGTTAGGCACCTGTTTCATGAAAATCAGTGCTAATTCATTTTACCATCTATCATATTAACTTTATTTATACCCTGCCTTTCTCCCAGTGGAGGCTCAAGATGGCTCACACTGCCACACTATTTTATTTATTTATTTATTTTAAAATTTACATACATTAACAGCTTACAGTGTAAACAGAACACGAAATAATGATCATTTTACAAACACATAACCCCACCACCAAGGCCTGAACAAGTATCCTTTCCTTTGCCATAAATTTGTGAGTAAACCATTAACCAAACACTCCCACACTAGACAAGTTTAAAAACCGCAATACAAAAGTTAAAAAACACTTTAAATAGTAACAATGAGGTAAAAACAGAATTAGAATACAATAAATGTACTTAAAATGGCTTTAAAACTCATATCCCCCACTCATATCCCATCCTACTTCCCAAAGGCTGCCCCTTATCCTTTCCCAAGAATGGTAATTTTCTTATTCCATTAATAGAAAACATTAACCATCAAGAATAAAACCTAGTCAGACATGTCTTCAGCACTCTTAAGGTAAAGGTAGTCCCCTGACATTAAGTCCAGTCATGTCTGGCTCTGGGGTGTGGTGCTCATCTCCATTTCTAAGCCGAAGAGCCAGCGTTGTCCGTAGACACCTCCAAGGTCATGTGGCCGGCATGACTGCATGGAGCGCCATTATCTTCCCGCCGGAGTGTGAGCCACCTATTGATCTACTCACATTTACATGTTTTCGAACAGCTAGGTTGGCAGAAGCTAGGGCTGACAGCGGAAGCTCACGTCGCTCCCCGGAATCGAACCTGCGACCTTTTGATCAACAAGCTCAGCAGCTCAGTGCTTTAACCCACTGCGCCACACTCTTATCTGTGCTAATTTTATTTTAGTTTTCTGGCTATACGGTTGATCTGATCGTTCCTAGGAATCACTGTACTGTACTCTGAATTTTTTTAGCATATGTTGAATACATGTTTGCTCTGGTTCAGTTAAATGTAACTGTGCAACCCCAGTTGGGCATTGTATGTAACACTGCCCTAACTTTGTAATTATAATTTTCTGTTTTCTTGTAGAAATTCATTGGCAACTGATAAGCTTGGCTCTTAATTGTGTTTATTTTGCTGTCCCTAGCAAATCTTTTCACCCTGGACTAGCTATCTATATATATACACACTGATTGCAATCTTAAAATTATGTTTTGGTGTTGCCCTCCTGTTCACTTATCTCAGTTCGGCTTCAATCTTTCGTTCTCCTCTTCAATTTTTTATTGCTCTCTTTTATCTTTTGTTAAAGACACTGGAGATTTTATTTATCTCAGCTTGATATATTGTTGTTGTGTGCCTTCAAGTATGGTAATTCCATAGTATCATGGATTTTCTTGTCAAGGTTTGTTTAGACTTAGTGCAACTTGTCCAAGGTCACCTAGGTGGGTTTCTACGACCAAAAGGAATTTGAACCCTGGTTTCCAGAGTGATGGTGCAACTCTCAAACCACTATACCACGCTGGCTCTAGATATATACTAATTAGATCTAACTAGATACAAACCAGGGAAGATAATTGAGAACTGGAATGGTCGCTTTAAATAAAATAAAGAACAGACTTTAGTGTGTTTCATGTTGTCCAAGTAGTTCTCTTTTCAGAGAATTAGACGTGTCAAATAGTGTTTGTGCTGATTCTTCATTTATTGTTGTTATGAATACTATCACAGTCTCACTCTAAGTATTGCTAGCATTAAAACTGCCAAATGTTCATAAATAAGTATGCTTTGCAAGTATGAATTCATTCATATAGCTACACCGTAGTTAACAAAGAAGGTGTGATAGGTTCCTATATCACAGAAAGGAAAGCAGTTTAATATGTTCAGCAATGATTTCATTCAAAATAAATAGTATGCTCATATGAGATGAAACAACCAAATCAGAACAGCACTGCATAAATAAGCAAAAAATGTTGAATCTTCTATAGGTCACTTGCATTGAGCATCCATGGATTTTGGTGTCCACAGGAGTACTGGAACCAAACCACAGTGGATATTAAGGGACCCCTATAATTGCAGTATTGAATGCATTTATATTTCCCCCCAAAATAATGTGTTTATAAGAGTTTTGTTGCTATATTTCAGAATAGTATAATTCCAAATAAGAGTGATCTCTTCTTTTTAAAAAAATTGAAGACATTGATTTGATCTTGCAAAGCAAATTCATCGTCTGTACATGTGTGCACGTAGGTGGAATAATACAGACAGAAATTTATCACACAGGGAAACAAGACTACATTTAGCCATGAGTCATCTTGGTAAATAACTTTGGAACATTCGTGATTTTTAAGACTTGTCTTATGGCAGTTTGTCCTGACGAATTTATGTGAATTCTATACCTATGGAGATTTTTTATGAGGGTAAGTCTGGTAGACTTACATGTTAATTAAGCATTTTTTAAAAAGTTCTGGTGTGCCAGCTCTCTGTTTGGAAAGTATTGGGAAATACTTATGGAAAGTATTGGGAAAGCGTTTATTTTCTGAAAATATAAACTTGACACTTAAAAATGGTGCATTTGTTGGATGACTATTTATCATATCACATCTTTTTTCCTAACATGAAATTCAGAGAAGCTCATAGCTGGAGAACAGCGATTATAATAAAATGTTCTTAAAAATTAAATGAACAATCCTGTTAAAAACAGCACTAATATGAAATAGTTTAAAATAATTTGAAACATAACAGTGAGAATGAAGTACTCATACCTCATTAAAAGATACATTTGTAACAACTAGGTATTCACGAAATACCTGACTGAATATATAACCTACATCATTCATATTTGTGATCAGTGTGCCTGAAAAGCCCGGGTGTCCATGTAAGATATTTTACTTGTCTAGTACTGAGTTTGACTAGGTAGGCCTTGCTTAAGATTTACTTCCAGTAGACAAAGTTCATGAACTGAACAGGATGCTTTTGCAATGGTTGGGATGACGTTTCCAGTCTTCTGTATCATAGAATAATAGAGTTGGAAGAGATCTCATGGGCCATCCAGTCCAACCCCCTGCTAAGAAGCAGGAATATTGCATTCAAAGCATCCCCGACAGATGGTCATCCAGCCTCTGTTTAAAAGCCTCCAAAGAAGGAGCCTCCACCACACTCAGGGGCAAAGAGTTCCACTGCTGAGCAGTTCTCACAGGAAGAACCATCTGGTCACCACTCTCTGTCCTTCTTCGCAGACAATGAAAAATCTGAATGTCATCTTTAGCAGGTTTCCACACTGTGTCCTATGCTGAGATTGAAGTTTCAGTATATCACCCTGATTGGTTTGTCTGTGTTACGGTTGAGTTGGGGGTTCTTATTATGTTTATGCTTTGAGTGCTGTTATATTTATTTATTTATTTATTTATTTGCGTTTTTATAACCCGGTCTTCTCGACCTCCGAGGAGGGACTCAGGCCGGCTAACAACATAAGATTCAATACAATAAGAAAAACATTATAAATCATCAATATAAAATACATTAAAATACAATTCATACAAGTTACAGCAAAAATCAGTTCGTCAGAATGAATCACATATCTTATTTGTAGTGCAATAAACACTTAAAACAATACAGTAATTAAAATGAAGAACAATTTTAACAAATATAAACTATATATATAGTAAGGCAGTTTATAAAAGTTTAATAATATAACACGGACATCAAAATATACTGGGTTTTTGGTAGTCCTTTTTCATCTCTCCAGGTTACATTTTCATGCAATTCATAGTCTTGCATCCCATATTATGAGGGAAGCCTGAAAATACATTAAAATACAATAAACTCAATAGGGCAATATCCATTAAAATACTGTCATCCAAGTGATATCTCTTAAACTTTTAAACTACAGTTCTCTGAAGTCATAAGCGACAATCTAATAATCCTTTTAAAAAGAATTAATTTTATTCCAGGAAAACACAAAATACACAAACAGCATTTTAGTTACATAAAGTTTCTAAAACTACACTACTACGTATTGTGCGCTACAACTGAACTATAACAAAGCAACTATAAAAAAGGAATAAAACTACAAATGTCTCACTCTCTAGCTGATATTTGTTATCCCTTATAAATTGGCTTCCTTTTAGCAATAATATAATCTCCCATTTACTTAAGACAACAGTCTACAATTGATAAATGCCCTTATCATTTTGGTTTAAAATTAATGAGCACATCACAGTCTTTCTTAAAGTTGATCAAAGATTTCTTCTTAATCAGTGTGGTCAATTTGCCCATTTCTACAATTCCTTAATTTTTTAAAAACACTATAGAGATTCTGTGACACAAAACATTTTTTCGATCTCTTGTCAAGAAGCCTGAACCATGTTGTGACCCTGCTGAAATAATGTAACAATAATATCAAAAGTATCAAAAGTACAAAGGAATAAATGTTGATTTCTATGTATGTACATCAAGTATAGGACCATAGCCTTCTCAAGAGTTGGAAGAATTTTCCTAATGCCATGACCAGAGTTTTGAAGAAGATTGGTATGTTTTTAAATCCATTACGTGGGATGAAATAACTCAAGGAGACGGAACATCCTCTCTGATACTGCTTTTAGATAATACCGTCTGATCTCTATATCCTTTAATTTTTCAGTGAGAAAGTGCACTTTTATTTTATTTTGTGTTCAGGTGTTTAAAATTAACTTCATTATTAAATCTGGGCATTATGGTATAGTGCTTTCGAACTGGACTACAACTATGGAGGTTCATATTTCCACTCAGATATAGAAACCCATTGGGTGACTTTGGACAAGTCATACTCTTTCAGCATTGTCAGACCTCCTCTGAAACACCAATTGTTCCACTTAAGGCTGCTGTTAATTGGAAATGACTTCAAGACACACAGTAAATTATGAACAGCAAGATGGTAAACAATACATTCATTTAGTGGAATGTGAAATACATAAAACATTTGTATTAACTTGTAAAAGTTAATAAAATTGATGCTTTGATTTTATATTTATAGGAAGAGATGAAACAATGGAGTCTGTTAGACCATCTTTCCTTGAATATTTTGAACAAAAAGAAAAAGAGAACCGAAGAAACTGTGGAAGGCAGGTACCTGAAAGGTATTCATCAGATTGGAGAGTACCTCAGGATGGTGACTATGAATTTGTAAGTAGCAATTACTGGTATATATTTTCTTTTTTTCAATAGAAATAAATATCCCCTGACCAAAAGATACTCTATTGCAGAAAGGAAGTGTACAAGGCTTTGTTGCATATTAATGGTTTTTTAAAGACTAAAACATTTAAGGGCAGACAAATTTATCCCCATTGCTTGATGTAATGATTGCATAAACATGTGAGCAAACAATCCAGTTCAAATCATAAAGGAAAATGAAACTTAATAACTAATATTTCTAAAATAATAATAATAACATAATAATAATAATAATAATAATAATAATAATAATAATAATACATGTTTTGTCTTACAATCTTTATAGTCATGAATTTAAAATATGTCAAAAGTTCACCTGATTCCCTGTTTTTATCCTACAACTTAACTATAGGAAGATAAGAACAGGAGAATCTAATTGCTGATATAACTTGAGATGTTGAAAAATGATGATTTCTCTTTTGAAAGCTTCTTTGAAATTGTTCCAAATATTATTGATTGCAAATGGCATAGTACTTGTTATTTTGGTTTTTTCATATGCCCTGCTTTTTTAACCAATGAGCTGTTTTAGTCAGCCTTGCTAATATCAAACATTGTGATGGTGATAGTGCTGTGCAGTTGCAGCAAAACTTTTCCCCCTCCCCACCACAATCTGAGAACCAGCTCCAAGAGGTTTCGAATTCTTTTTCATTCTTCTTTTTTTTTGGGGGGGGGTGCATGCAGTAATGTGGAGAGAGAAGGTTGTGTTCCCTTTTTGTAGATAGAAAGAGTTCATCAAGCAGTCATTAGTTGGATTTAGTCCCTCTATTCTCAACTACTAGGAAGAAGAAAACCATGGACGTCTTTAAACTTTTTCTACTTATGATTGCTTTCTGCCTGGGAAATGTTTACATATATAAAATAGGTATATAAATCAAACAGTAATGTTAATAAATCAACATTTGCAAGACTTGCTAAACAGTCTGATTTTCCTTTTTATGAAGTACAGCTAAAGCATTTTATGGAGAGTCCACCATAAATATCTCACACTCTTGCTAACAGATTTGCGTAAATGGATTGTGTTCAGAAACCTTTTACTATTGTCAGATTTTTCAGGAGCCCAACATTGAACTAAGGGGACCCCATTTGAGGTCGAGTCCCACAGTTTAAGAAGCAGTGTTCTAATAGATGTTTAGATGTGGCATTTCTCACTCTTTTGGTGGAATCTTTTTGTGAGTCATTTATTTAGATTGTAGTTGGAGCAAAAAAAGGAAAGCAAGGCAACCCTCAGCTTTGCTGAGAAGCTAAGGCAGAAGAGTGATTGTTTTTTTCCCCAACTGCCACTGAGCCTCCCCTTTAGTCAGGCTACAGCAAAAGAAGAGATAGGAAACGGTAGAATCATATCATTGGCTTAGCTGAGAAATTACCCATTTTTGGCTCTTAGCTGGTAATAACACCAGCCTCTTGTTTGTGGTCTCTGTAACTCACACAAATGGGCAATGCTTATGCAACAGCATCTCATTTGTATGAATACAGAGGTAATCCACTGGAAAAACCTAGTTATAGATAAGCAGCCTATCCCCACCTGCACTACAGCTGTTCATTATATGAATTGTAAAATATTAAAAGAGTTTTATTATTTTCTGTTTTTCTCTCTATCCCTTTTCCCTCTACAGTTGTGTATTTCTAGGTTGTTAGCTTGAGAGCAGGAACTATCCTTGATTTTGATTGATCTTTAAGCCACTCTGGGAGTCTTTCTGGCTTAAAACCAGGGTATTAAATGTATTATATTACATTTGACATTGATAGAGCTCTGGAAAATAACTGGAATTCTATTACCATTGCATGGCTCATAAGAACTGCTGAATCTGTTGCAATCCATGGCTTTTCTTTTGTTACAGACAGCTAAATAAGTCTAAATGACAGGACTGTGATCCCCACTCAGATGTAACTATTGATTCCTATGTAAATAGCTTTGTTCTTGAGGAGTGTCATATTTTATTCTGTATATTTCCAGAAAGGCTTCTGAAGTATAATAGCCCTTTTCTGAGGATGGTGGTTACTTTACTCTCCCTTTTAATGTAAGAATAAACAGCATGATAAATTTGTCAGAAGAGAAACAACTAGTCATATAGCTTGTTAAAAGGCCTTTGACCACCATTTAAAAACATATCTGTTAGAAAAAAGTTGGTACTTTCTGCCAAAATCTAAACATCCTTAGTAATGCATCCTGTTTTGTTAAATGCATTTGTCTGTTGGGAGTTGTGTAAAAAATTGTAATAGAAATATGTTATATTGTGAATACTTTGACCTATATTATCGTTTATAGACAATTGACTTTTATATGTTAGTGTACATGCATATATCGAATGAGAATTTTTCCCCATGTTGCTTAAAATTCACCTTAGCAACTGACAAAGATTAGTGGAGAAAGAAAGTAAATATATAATAGGCTTTGTTCATGCTTATACTGCAGTCTTTGCAGTATCCCATAAGTAAAAAATTACTTGAAGACCCATATCAACAAAAGGGTGTTAGGTATTGCTTTATTACATCACTAGCATGAGTACCCAGCATTGAAAAAGTCATTTTTTAAATTTTTTTACAAAGTGCATAAAGTTGTGGGTGAACTATAACTCACATCATGCCAGGTTGACCCCAAAAAACTCCATCAGTATTTCCAAGTTTGTTATGTTGGGCAAGTTTGCTCTAGATGCATCATCAGTATGGTTCAGTGTGCTCTCTGGCTGTAGGGTAAACTACAACTCCCATGATGGTGAGTCAGTCCCCTCAAGCCCCTCTAGTAGGTTGAGTTCATCATAGGGTTTCTGTTTGCCAAATTTGGTCCAGGTCCATCATAGGTGGAGGCCACAGTTTCTCTGGCTGTGGGTGAACTACATCTCCCAGAAAAGAAGGTCAGTTTTCCCCAAACTCCTCAAATTTCAACATATCAAGTATGTGTGCCAAGTTTGTTCCAGATCATCAGTGTTTGAGTTCACAGTTCTCTCCGGATGTAGGTGAACTCCAGCTCCCTTACTCTATGCCAAACTGTTGATGGATCTAGTAAACTTGCCACACATAGCCAACATGCTAAACTTTGAATACTGGTAGGGTTTCGAGGGGACTGACCTCAGAGGTTGGGAGTTATAGTTCAAACCCACATTAACAGAGCAGTGTACACCCAACTGATGGATCTGGACCAAACTTGGTGCAAATACTCAATATGACCAACTTTTTTGGGGGGAGGGGGGCTGACCCAACATGATGGCGATTATAGTTCTCCCTGCATCCAGAGAATCCTGTGACCCCCACCAATGATGGATCTAAACCAAATTGGGCACACAGACCCAACGTGGCCAACTGTGAATACAGGCAGGGTTTGTGGATGATTGACCTTGAGATATGGGAGTTGTAGTTCACCCGCATCCAAAGAACACTGAACCCAGCTGACAATGGATCTGGACCATACTTGGCACACGGACCGACATGGCTAACTGAATACTGGTGGGATTTGGGGAGGATTGACACATGATTTGGGGAGTTTTAGTTCACCCCCATCCGTATGCATTTTCTAATGTGAGCATTAATAAAAACAAAGGAAATAGTGAGTTTTTTTCCTAATAAATAGTCTTACAAATTACCTAAACTGCTTCTGCTGCTCCTCCTCCTCCTGATGCTGCTGGGCCACTCTCAATCCCACACTGCGAGGGCACTTTCCACCTACTTTGAAGGGATCACTGGTGCGAGCCTCCCTCCAGTCTCGTACGCTCTCTCTCATCGACTCATGCGCACCATGCTGCCATGTGCCGAGCACACCTGCTCTCCCCTCCCTGTTTGGAGTCTCAGAAACAGCCCTCCCCTTGGCTTAGAGGCCAGCTGAGAGCCTGGCCAATCACAACAACAGGGGGACTCTTGGTGGGAGGATTCACAGTCTTGTTTCCAAAAAGGTAGAGAAGGACAGGCGGAGATCTTAGCCTTCTCTGCCAAAGGGGTTCCTAAGACCATCAGAAATACGTGTTTTTGATGATCTTTGGTGACTCCTCTGACCCCCCTCCCCCGGAGTCCCGACCCCCAGGTTGAGAAACGCTGTTTTAAGTAAAAGTCAATTCCTACAACTGTTAGTTTTTTGAATTACAGTAGAATCTCAGTTAACCAAAAATCGAGCAACCTGCAAAAACAAACAAACAAAACAAAAAACACTTCATTTACAAAGCTGTTATCAAAAGATAGTAAAATTGTGTTACATTAAATTAAATGTGTCTTTATTTGTCTTAATTCATTTTCATTAATGCACGGGACACTGCTTAGAGGCCAAGATATAAACTGGCAGATATTCCTTTAGCTTTTGAGAAAGTAGAAGAGACACAGAGTTATTTTAGAACTGTCGAGTTTTTCTTTACTGTATATGACTTTGCTTTTCCTGACATACTTCACATTCTCAGCTGCTTCAAAACTTGCTCTGAAGAATGTTAATGTCTTACAGAGGAAAACATCTATTACACTTTCTGGAAGAGATGGATAGTGAGAAATTGCATGTTAACAAGTGATTTATCGCTTATTGATCAATGAAAGCACGCTGTGGTTTACAATGAGCAATATGTATTCTGTGTTACAAGCCTTTGTGTTGATGTCATTTCATTTTTTAAAAGACTGGTGTCAGGCTTCTCCTTTCCTCCGTCAAATAGTTTATTTTCTCTTTTCTGATTTTTTTTTTCTTGAATTGCATCAGTGGTGTAGGGGAGTCTAAGAATATGCACAGATGGTTTTCCCAGTTCCTTCCTCTATCCTTCAAAAATACGCTGCTACCCCACTGGTTAGGGTATCTTACCTGCTCTTGTTTGGCATTTAGCTGCTTTAGTCTTCCTTCATGTGCCTAGTTTCAAAGCCAACACAGTAGCACATATCATATGCATCCTTGCTGCCTATGTTATGCTCTGTAAATATTGTGTTTTATATTAATAGACTTTTTGCCCTAACCCAGTATGTAGCTCATGTGAGAGTGCTAAGTTCTGAAA